GAGTGCAGTGGCCGGATCTCAGCTCACTGTAAGCTCCGCCTCCCGGGTTCACGCCATTCTCCTGCCTCAGCCTCCGGAGTAGCTGGGACTACAGGTGCCCGCCACCTCGCCCAGCTAGTTTTTTGTATTTTTTAGTAGAGACGGGATTTCACCGTGTTAACCAGGCTGGTTTCAAACTCCTGACCTGGTGATCCACCCGTCTCGGCCTCCCAAAGTGCTGGGATTACAGGCTTGAGCCACCGCGCCCGGCCAGGGTTTCTTTTCCTTTTACATTTTTCTTTTAAAGATGGGTCTCGCTCTGTCACCCAGGTTGAAGTGCAGTGGCATGATCACAGCTCACTGCATCCTCAACCTCCTGGGCTCAAGTGATCTTCTCACCTCAGCCTTCCAAGTAGCTGGGACTATAGGTGTGTGCCACCATGCCCGGCTAATTTTTATTTTTATTTTCTTGTAGAGACAGGGTGTCCCTATGTTACCCAGGCTGGTCTTGAACTCATGGGCACATCCCATGATGTTCCCTCTTCTAAAAGGACTGTTACTGCTTAACTTATACCAATTCCTGACTTTTTTGCTTATTGTCATTTTGTAAAATGGAGGCAAGGGAAAAGTGATTCAGAGAAGACGTTGTATTGTTTATGATTACTTCTATCCTTATTTTATTTTTTAAGCATTAAGAGTATCAACAGTGCTGAATTAAATGCAATTTCTTTTTAGTTTAAAGTTTACAGTGGTAAGTGATCCTCTGGATGAAGAAAAGAAAGAATGTGAAGAAGTAGGATATGCGTATCTTAAACTGTGGCAGATCCTGGAGTCAGGAAGAGATATTCTAGAGCAAGAGCTAGACAGTGAGTAATTTTTTTTTTTCAGTTCTAATTATTTCTAAGGAAATCATCCTAATAGTGAATATATTTTATCTTCAATACATAATTATCACTATGAAGTTGACGAGACACAAACTGGATTGAAATCTTATCGCTACAACTGTATTTATTTCTGGATCCAGCATTAAAGTAGTCAGTTGTGTATTTTAACCCCCATATACCAGATTACAACTAGAATTGATTTTGAATCTACAGTGTTTGAAAAGGGGATTTTTAAAAAGATATTTTCATTTCAAATTTATACATCAGAATTTTGGACCTCTCTTGAGCATGTTTGTATAGGCAGCTGATACCCATTCTTTGTGTTATCATGTGTCCAGTCTTTTTTTTTTTTTTTTCCGAGATGGAGCTTCACTCTTGCCCAGGCTGGAGTACAATGGTGTGATCTCAGCTCACTGCAACCTCCGCCTCCCAAGTTCAAGCCATTCTCCTGCCTCAGCTTCCTGTGTAGCTGGGATTACAGGCGTGTGCCACCATGCCTGGCTAATTTTTGTATTTTTAGTAGAGACCGTGTTTCACCATGTTGGCCAGACTGGTCTCGAACTCCTGACCTCAAGTGATCTGCCTGCCTTGGCCTCCCAAAGTGCTGGGATTGCAGGCGTGAGCCACTGCACCTGGCCCATCTTGTC